TCACAACTTGGCCTTACAAAAATTATCCTTTTTATGTAAACAGATGCAGAATTTAAAGCTCTACAAAATGCTCTTCTTTATAAGGGCCGATCTCTTTTCTAACCGAATGACGAAATGTTTTCATTGGCATGAAAGTGCGCCAAAAATAGATGATTACGCATATTTTGTAGGCGGTTTTCAACATAGTAAAAGTCAGTCAAAAAATTTGGTTTTGTGTCTCAAAAACAACTACGTTTCTGTACTTTTTCATAGTGTGTCTGAATAGCGTATAGAAAATTATGTAGCAAATAAAAATGACATTTTATTCTAGTCAAGTGCTGAGCAAATGATGTTCTTGTAGCATCCAATACTTTTAATGCTACAAGAGAACGGTACATGCTTATTTAAAAAAGAACATATTAATAAAATCTACACAAAATTCTCTATCTTGTGGCATCAGAACCAAACTTTCTGTCAAGTCTAACTTGAGAAGAAAGCCTATCCAAAACCGGCAATTTAATCTGGACCACCCGTTAGATAGAAAAGACTCAGCAGTCGAGCCTCGTTATGGATCTCAACGGACGCTGCTCCCACAGCGTTGATTGTTATAAGTGAAAATCAGTTTGAAAATCAGCAAACACTATTTAGGCTTTAGCCTTCTCTATCACAGAAACGATCTAGAGAATAATATGCGCAGTATTTGTAGTTATTATTCATCAGAAAGAAAGTACCAAAATCGAGACATGTGATCTAGGTATGTTTATGGAAGAAAGAAATATTTTTTTGCTGCATATTATGTGTCAAAATTATGAATAAAATTCAGGCCAAAATAACTGGTTTACAGCAATATTGTTCATGTATTGTGATTAGTTACGAATGAAATTATTTAGAAAAATGTTTGATCTTTTTCAGGTTTAAGAAAGTAGAGCAGATTTTTTATCGGGTTATGCGATGAGAAGCTTTTTTCTAGCGTTAGAATAGTAATAAGTTAAGTATTATGAACTTACGCCAGCACCATTCTGTTTAGCGTGCTCCTTGAAGAATGTGAACGCATTTCTCATTTGTTGCTTGGCATCTTCATGAGTACTGTTTTCATCCGTAACTTCGCAAGCCAGTTTCATCGCATGTTTCAACAATGCATCACAGACTCTTAATTTCATGTGTAATAAATCGACAACAATATCTTCATAGCTAGAGAAAACTCGTGTTACAGATCGACAGTTTCTAACCGCATTGAAAAACTTACGCGAAAAATTTGTGAAACAGTGGTTTTTCTTTGTATCCAAACTGTGGTTTGTGAGCGTCTACTTGTTCATAATGTTCGGCTAGCGTTCTGGCACCTTTTGAGACATCGAATGCCGACCACATTTTAAATACGTTTTCTCGAGTAATTTGAGGTGATGCAACTTTCGATTTTCCGTTTAGTTTTCTTGTACGCTTTTTCGACGGTTGCCTCTTTATCGTGTAATCATTGTCATCTTCATCATCATTTTTCTTCTCGGATGGTCCAATATTCGCAAGCGTCATTTTCTGGTATTTACACCAATTACATTGGTGTGCAGATGCAACACCGGCGAGGCCCATTACTTGATAAACCATTTTATAATCGGCACTGTATGTAAACTTTATATTGAACTGCGAACCATCGATTGTCATTGTTTGATTTGGTGCAAACATCTGAATGAATTCGTCTGTCATGTATTCTTGTAAATTGACTCGATCTTCCTTTGGAATTTTGACAAATGCTAGTGGTACCAAATTCAGTGCATTCTGGGTTTTTGAACCCGCATCGATCCATCCCAGACTGGATGCAAAACAATTCAAGTTTTTTCCTATCCAGGTTCCATCTTGACATAAACGAAATCGAAGCGTACTGATGCCGCTTCGTCGAAGTTCACGTATCAATTCAATGTTACTCGACGTTAGAAGGACAATTGCATGTTGCACATGAAAGTACGCGCCATGCGCGGTTGTTTTCATCGGTATCTTGCTTTCGTACAAATGAAGTAAATCGGTAAGAGTTCTCAGCGGTGGTGGGGGCACTTGGTGTTTCGCGCACAAATCGAATATTTTTTGATACATTTTGTTGGACGTTGAAGAAAATAATTTCCAGAAAAGAAATTCGCCGTAGTATCGGTTTTCTAGCAACGCTATCTCTCTCTTCCGTCGTTTTTCTACTGTTTCGAAATTAACCTCTTCTCTTGCATCATATTTTCTTGTATTTTCTTCATTGTCTTCTGTGTAATATATCGACCCCATGGATGCATTGTACGAGAAAGAGTCTGTTTGATCATTGATAGACAGATATTGTTGTTGAGGCTGAGGGAGACTATCGTGAGCACGACTTGGACTCTATAAAGAAACAGATGCATCATCCAGGATCGGGTCGATTTGTGGAAGAATTTTCAGATATGCTACTAGAAAACTGTTGGACGATGTGTTATGCATAAGCTATTGATACGTGATATTTAAAAATAATTATCGATTTGATTTTTTTTAAATAACCGTTCGGTTTAATTCAATTTCAAGAAAACCCATGAACGTTTCTGTCTATGGCACAATAGTATTACTTAAAGAGTATGACACATTTCTAGTGAGAATCACAGAAAGCGGAATTGAATTCTTTTCGTGGACATCTCACTCCATTCATTCTAATACCGAGTACTTGAACGTTTCACTCAGGGTTTTTTTGCAAAGTGGAATGACAGCTAAATGAATTAATGACTTTACCTCGTTCTCGATGCACTCTCTCTTCTTCTGCAATCTTTCGGATAACCTGGGTGTTTGAATCAGTTCGTCGGTTGTCTCCAGTGGGAATGTGAAACTGATGTGGTCTGGCTGACCTGAATTGATCTGAGAGAAGGTTGAGAGTTGATCAATGGTATGCAGCGATCGTAGGCGACTTTTTAAACGTCGTTGTAGTGTCGATCGATCAATTCTATGTTCAATATTGAAATCTTTCGCAAATTTTATTATCAGATTTATAAGCTTTGCATAGTTATTGTCGTTCAACGCACTGGAACTTGTGAACAGATGGTTACTAATTGTGCATGGCATTACAACTTGAACGAGGTCTTCTGTCAGTCGAAAATCGAGCTGTAAATCGTCAACAATATCGATATTCATTTGTTCATGTGGTGTTGCAGCGATGTTTGCAGCGGATGATAAGAGATCAGAAATATTTGTATGAAATACGTGCACGAATTCTGAATCTGTCCACCCGCCGAAAACTTCTGGAACTGTCAGGTTTTTCCGTTGGAGAGGTATTACCAATACGATCTTGCGAGTTGGCCACATTAATTCTTTTTTTATTTTTTTCCTCGACTTATTCTTTTGGTAGGCATTTTTCAAAGAATGTAGCTGCGCTTTTACTTCTTTCATAACTGATTCCTTGGAACAGTCGTCACCAATCAGCATCAGAATATTATAAACGTCGTCGACAAGTTTCTGGATCAAAGAGTCATTGACAAAGTATGGATCGATATTAATCAATTCACCTATATCGACAGTGATGCATCGTTTTGATAGATCGTTACAGTGATAGAGCCGACTTGTCTATTGAAAAAGAAAACCTAGCATCAGATATCATCGTTGTGGAAAAGTGCTTCATACTTTTTTAACGGGTAGTATGTTTTGAATCGATTGCTTTATTGTAGCGGGAAACCCTTTTAATGTACCTTTCTAGAAATAGTCAAAATTTATGTATGTATAGATTGGTGTTTATACTATTTTCCGTACCTTTGCTTTGTCTTTGATCATAACGACAGACTTTGCTAATTTTATCGATTCTGTTAACCAATCGTTTGCTTCCTATACAACTCATCGTTAAAATGCGTACCTTATGTATCTGAGAACAATTTCTGTTAAACTTACCGATATTTCCTCCTGTGAGTTTGCTTTCTCCCAGTCATTTGCAGTATCACATTCGAAAAAATCTTCAATGTCTTCGTTCTCATTGAAACATAAATTCTGTTCGCAAGAACGTTAAAAAATTGAGAATTTTTATGAGGTGCCCGTAATTCAAAATTTCAACTTATTTTGATTTATTTATACACGGTTGGATAGAGCTCGACGTGCTCATTAAGCAAAAGTATCTCTATTAACTTTTAAAAAGAAATTTCTGTGGTGAGAAAATTTAAAAAGCTTTTACCGTGCCAAATGACGACTCTTAAAAAATTTAATTTTTCGAATATTACCTTGAGTTTGAAGATTTCTAACAAAGGTTTTCAAATTCAGCGTAAAAAACTGGGTCTGAGAACGTTTTTCGAAAATTAATATTCCATTTTATACTTTTGAAATTTGGTGCCAAGACAAAGCACTCAAAGCCTCTTTTTTTTTGTAAACCTATCTAATTTTTTCTTTGAAGAGATATAGCCACTAGCATATGATTGGAATCGACAAACTGCGAACAACAAAGTGACATATGGATTTCTTATAATTTTGCTCCCTTGAGAGATGTTTCAAATTAATTGAAAATGGGTCGATTTTTTCCAAAATCAGTCAGGTCTTTTCTGAATAAAATTTTTATTGTTGGCTCAATAACAATGAAAACAAAGTTTTATAGATGAAAACGCATAAGAAAGCCAACGGAAATACTTCCAGGATCTGTACAGGCTTTCCAGAGGCCTCCAGAAAACTCTTGTTTGTCTAAAAACTTCTGAAAACAAATCTACAGCCATAGAGAATTTAATTCTGAACAAAATAAGACCACTCCGAGGTTCCTCTGATCTTCTGCCGATGAGACATTCCATTTAGCTTCAGCATACCTTGTTCTCCGGCTAAAAACGGCTTAGCCGGCCAATGGCTTCGAGTGCCTTGTCTTGGTACCAAATTTTCAAAAGTATAAAATGGAATATTAATTTTCGAAAAAACGTTCTCAGACCCAGTTTTTTACGCTG